GTCCCTGTGGTCAGGGAGGCTGGATCACCGGGATTCCCTGGATCAGGGCAGTGCCCGTCCCTGTGATCAGGGAGGCTGGATCACCATGATTCCCTGGATCCGTGATTCCCTGGATCAGGGCAGTGCCCGTCCCTGTGGTCAGGGAGGCTGGATCACCGTGATTCCCTGGATCCGTGATTCCCTGGATCAGGGCAGTGCCCGTCCCTGTGGTCAGGGAGGCTGGATCACCGTGATTCCCTGGATCAGGGCAGCTGGCCCTGCTGAGGCCGTTCTGTCACCTCTGGGCCCCCCACACAGGGAGTGGAGGGGCTGGAGCGTGGCCAGAGGAGGGAATGGGGCTGGGGAAGGGAATGGAGCCCCAGGAGAGGCTGAGGGAGCTGGGAAGGGGCTCAGCCTGGAGAAAGGAGGCTCAGCGGGGACCTGGAGCTCTGCACAGCTCCTGACAGGAGGGGACAGCTGGGGGGTCGGGCTCTGCTCCAGGAACAGGGACAGGAGCAGAGGGAACGGCCTCAGGCTGGGCCAGGGGAGGCTCAGGGTGGGCAGCAGCTCTTGGACACTCCCAAGGATCCAGGGGCACCCACAGCTTCTCTGGGAAACCTGTGCTAGGGCCTCACCACTCTCACAGCCAGGAGTTTCTTCCTAATACCTGACCTAAACCTACTCTCAGCAGGAATTTCTTCCTGGAAGAGGCAATTAAGCACTGGAAGGGGTTGCCCAAGTAGGTGGTGGAGTCTCCATCCCTGCAGGTGCCCAGAGAATGCCTGGATGTGGCACTTAGTGCTGTGGTGTGGATGACAAGGTGCAGATGGGTCAAAGGTTGGACTTGATGATCTGGAAGGTCTTTTCCAGCCTGACTGATTCTGAGTCTGGATGGTGTTGTGGTATCGGTGTTGTTTGTCCAGTACATGCAGTACCATGCATGACATGCTGTTGTCACCTCCAAGGGTAGCAGTGCTGTAACAGTGTCTGCAAGTGCTGTGACAGGGGCTAAGGCAACCCAGCGGGTATTAAATTGTCTGCTGAGGGGGTGTACACCTGTGGCTTTAACTAAAACTTTTAATTCCCTGCACACAGCATAAGAGCTTTTCTTAGTAAGTGATATTTTTTTCACAATTGTTCAAGCTTTTCTGCTTTGTCCTTTCAATATCTGGAGTGTATGGTCAAAGGAAGATAACTGCATTTGGTAGGGATAACTAAAATGCAACTTATTTCTTCAGCATTCTTTGTAGAAACAGAGATCAGGTGGAATTTACTTCAAAGATACTCCATACTTGTGTTTATCACCTAGATAACGTCAGTGGCAGAACAGGAGTCAAAACTTGTATTTGGCCTTCATACTTCATAACAAGCAAATGTGTTTGAAAGTACACATGCTACTATATCTGTTCCAAATTTCTCAACAATTTCTGATCCAGCTGGGGAGCTGGATGGGGGAGGTAACATGGGATAATACAGGAAGGTTATCCTGATTCACAGAAGAGAGTTTGAATTGGTGTAGCCCTTCCTTAGGCCTTTGCTAATTCTGTATTTAGCTATACAATCCCAACTAGCTGCAAGATCAGGCTTGGGGTAGGGGGAGGAAAGATCTGGGTGGATTTTCTGTTCAGCAGTTTCCTGTTGTGTGCTTTTGCCTGTGTGTGGGTCCTGAGTGCTGATTAAAGCAAACTTTGTTGAAGTGCTGTAAACGCTGTGCTGTATGAGCAGCAGCTGCTGTGCACCAGCAGTTCGTAGCCAAGTGTGATGCTTTAGACAGAGGCAGTATTTCCTGATTTCCTGTGGACACTCTTGAGGCAAAAGGACAGGCAGAGATGTCTCCCAGAGATGGTCAGAGGGATGGAGCACCATGAGGACAGGCTGGGACAGCTGGGGTTGTTCAGCCTGCAGAAGAGAAGGCTCTGTAGAGACACAATTGCACCTTCCAGTGTCAAAGGAAGCCCACAGGAAAGATGGGGAAAGACTTTTTACAAGGACCTGGAGTGACAGGGAAAGGGGAAATGGCTTCTACTTTAAAGAGAGTAGGTTTAGGTCAGACATTAGGAAGAAATTGCTGACTCTGAGAGTGGGGAGGCCCTGGCACAGAGAAGCTGTGGCTGCCCCTGGATCCCTGGGAGTGTCCAAGGGCAGACTGGACAGGACTTGGAGATAATGGAAGGTGTCCCTGCCCATGGCAGGGGGTGGGACAGGGTGGTGTTTATGGATGTCTTAAGGTCCTTTCCAGCACAAACCATTCTGTGGTTGCCTCTTAGTTGATGCCTGTTGCAGATTGTCCTGTGACTGTGTTGCATGGAGCATTACTAAAGGGGCTAGCATTCTCTTTCTATTTTATTAATTCCACTTTCCTGTTTTACTTTTACCTGATATGTTAAATTTCTCACATGCTCTTTCTACAACCCCTGCCTGACTCTTACAGAGAAACATTTCTTCATGTGATGAGTGTCACTGATCTCAGAGGAGAAACTCAGGAGAGTAGGTTTTCCTTGCTGTGGGTAGCAGGTGCATGAAATAGGTCCCAAATTCAGAATGTTATCCAAGCAAATGCAGTTCGTGGTGGCTTGGTTGGGCAAGTGTGATAAGGGGTATTTGGCTGCTACAGTTGATTGCCACCCACACCCTTCCCTCATGAGGTAAAAGAAAACATCATGGAAAACCATTCTGGTGATAGCTCTAGAACACAAGTCTGATGGGGCACAGCTGATGGAGCTCATACTTTATCCGTAAGCTGTTTCCACTCCTTCAATTGCGAACAGACTTTCTAAATTATAGAGAATTCTAGAACCTAAGTAATTTTCACTCATTTTATGAAGTGACATTAGTCTATTTGTAAAACTACTGTCAAGTCTGATGCTCTGGTGCTGTCTGTATCTTGGTGTGTGAATAAACGTGTCCTCCAGCCTTTCTATGTAAGTTTTATTTATTTCCTGGAAGTGCTTTGTTTGCCTGTGGCTGATGCTCATAGACACTAACGCTTTCCCTTAATATCTGGCAGGCCAGAAGAATGTTTGAGGGAGAAATGGCAAGTCTGGAAGCCATCCTGAAGACAGGGACGATAAAAGTGCCTAAACCCATCAAAGTCATAGACCTGCCTGACTGCAGTACTGCGTTTGTGATGCAACATTTGGAAATGAAGGATGTGAGCAGGTAAAACAGTGTTATCTTTGCCTCCTTTAACCAGAAATTTTGGCTGTCATGATTCATAGGGGAAACCTGTTTAATTTTTTTCTAAAGCAGGTCAAGACAATATGGGAAATCACACAGCAGAGTGTTGTATAAAATACTTAATAGTGCCTCACCTAGCAGATAGATCATACATCCCAAAGTGGGTCTGGGTTTTGGTTAGTTTTGGGTTTGTTTGTTTAGGTAATTAGTGGTTTTTACAGTAAGTTTTCTATTCACAGAAAGGAAAATGACCAGCCTGATAACCTGTGTTGTGTACTTGCTCCCTGTATAAGAACCAGTACTGTACTGCTTGGCACTTCCCCAAATCAATTAATCTTGATTTCTGTATTTTCAGCTTTTACCTTCATTTTTATAGTTACAAATTTTTGACCCTTTTCTGTGATAAGCACTTAATATGATGAATTGATCTATGTGATTCCATTAGGGCGGTGATCATGACCAATTTCTCATCTCTCTCCCAGAACTTTTCTGCAACCAGTTTAAAGTCTTGTCCCTCATCCTACTTGTTGGCAGAGTTTCTAATTCATGAAGAGCCCTCAGTGAGTCCCAAGAGAAAGGGCAGAGATGTTGCTGTTTTGGGGTCAAAAATGGCACCTTTGGCATGTAGATTTCCTGTATTAACAGGAACAAGTTGAAGAAGTAACTTTGCCTTAAACATCAGTGCCTGAAGAACAGGGAAAGTTGAGGAAGGTCAAAGGCAGTAAAAGGAACGTAATTTTGTTAACATGTGAGGCGACTGGTTGTAATATCTGTTTGTAATTACTACAATACTCTTCTGAGCCAGGTAGAGGATAAGGTTTTAGTAAAAATATGTAATAAACTAGGCCTCTGTGACACTCATCATCTAGGCATGCTAGAGGAAAGCAGCTGAAAGCAGCAGTAGAAAGAAGAGGATCAGCCTTTTGGTTCTGTTTCCCAAACAGATTTTACCAGAGTTAGAAAAAAAAGGCACAACATGTTGTGCATGCTTTCTTACCTATATCTTACTGAGAGTCCTCACAGAAGTGATGTCACACAGAAATTAGAATTGATAGTTTCTCTGTGTTAGTAAATTTGTGCTTGCTACTCACTTTTACGTAGTGGTGTCAGAAACAACCAAGTAAGTACATTTTGTGTTACTATGCAGTCTTGATAGGAAGACAAGGCATTTATAACTGGAATACACTGAAAAAATATTTTGTTAGAGGTGTAGAACTGCTTTCACTTACTTGATAAATCTGTTCAAGTGACCCCTGGAATATCAAGACCTGGTTCTGTTCATGTGTCAGTGGTACTCAGATTCCTGTTTTGTTTCTTAGACACTCATCACAGCTTGGAACTCAGCTGGCTGATCTTCACCTTTATAACCAGAAACTTGGAGAGAAACTGAAGAAAGAAAGGCGCATAGTTGGTACAGTATACAGCTGTTTGCAAATTTAACCCAGTTGATTGTCGGTCTCAGATTCAGTCAAAGAGAGAAACAGAGAGTTTCTATCCAGGCAGAAGCCAGGGAAAGAGTTGGAGAAGAATGTAAATAATTATTTATCTCTCTTGTTGTTCACATTGTTTATACTTAAGTTCTATCACTGTGCGTCAAGCACTCTGCACCAATGGTTGTTTTCACTTCAGGACCAATGGAATTGGTCCTCACGGAGCTCTGTATAAAAGAGCAATGCATTTTGAATAAACCAGAGTTCTACTCTCAGCAGCCTTTTGAGTCAGAGTCTCCTCATTCCCATCCTGCCTCAACAGCAACAGTTGATAATAATCTACAAAGCAGTTAAAATTACTTCTGCTACTTCAGGACAAGTTCATCTTCCCCTGAAGATAGCATGAGAATAGGTTTGGATGAAACAGACCCAGGCAGGGATTCTTCTTGCTTTTGTTTGCTCTGTTTGGGTTTGTGTAAGCAAAACACATACTCAGTTTTGGACCCGTGGGAGCCCAGACCACAGTTTCTATGGTATCAGAGGAGATAAAGAACCTCAAAATACAATTTTGAAGACCAGAATCTAGCTGCTTTACGTCAAACTTTAAATTTAAAAAAAACCCACATTGTAACCATAAAAAGAACATTAAAGTTCAATTTTTTTTATTCTCAGTAGAAGCAGCATTGTACTCTTGCATAGTTTTGAATGTTCATTTGTGTCCTGGACGCTCATTATTCTGTTACTGTTGTTGAATTTTTTTTTTGTTTTGTTTTGATAGGTAAAGGTCAAGGGCAAACGGAAATCCAGTTTGTGGATCAGTTTGGCTTTCATACAGTTACCTGCTGTGGCTATCTTCCACAGGTAGGTTGTACTTCATCAGACTGATAGAATTTTAAATTTGTTTTTTTTCCCCTCAGTGACACAGAGGGTCAAAATTATCGTAACGAAAATAAATGAATTTGTGGAGCAGTGAAAATAAAAAAAGCATGGTTCAGCCTGCTGAGGAAGGTAGTGCTTTTCACACTTGATAGCTCTTCAATTTCTTGGAATTTAATCACGAAGTGAAAATTATTCTAATTCGTGTTTTAAAGAGATAAATATTCTAAGAGAAAATTATCCTAATTTAATGTTTTAAAATAACATTAGATTAAATGATGGTAGTATTTACTGTCCTGGATGGTACCAGCACAAAGACTGCATGATACTCAAAGGGCTTATTTGAAAAAGAAGCAAATCTGCCTTTTGTGTGGTGTAGAACTGACTTTTGCAGTGCTGTTCCTTCAGGTGAACGACTGGCACAGTGACTGGGTGAGTTTCTTTGCTAGACAGAGGATCCAGCCCCAGATGGACATGATTGAAAAGGAATCAGGTGACAGAGAAGCAAGAGAACTTTGGGCACAGCTTCAGGTAGGAGGAATTCTCTCAGTTCTCATTATTGGGAGAGCTGGGTATACTTACATTTTATTTTTTTAAACCAGAGTTCCTGTTTGTTGGTTTGTACCAGGTTCTGTTGGTAAGAGACTCCAGTTTTTAGGGATTAAAATGCCCTTCTAAAGTATAATGGCATTCGCCATATCTCCCTATGCTAACATTCCAGAATGAATTCCAAAGTTCCAGATAGGTACTTTGCCTTACTGTTTGGGGGATACTGGATGGAGTTCATACTCTCATTCTCTGTAACATGTTCATGATGAGAAATGTACAGAAGCACTTCTGTCCTGCTTGCTGTCTGTTCATTCTCTGTTTGCAGCTGATTAAGTGACTGTACTGTTGGCTCTTTGGGTCCTACATTTTGGAAATTTGGTGAGACATCCTTGAGCTTTTTAGTGATGAAATGTTGGTGGCTGTTGTTACTAACCCTGGTCAATATCTGAGTTTCAAGGTTTTTATATTCTTGCTAAAAAAGATTTAGGTGACCATTCTGCTGCTCCATTTTATGAACAATAAGAGTCCTCTGGATGTACTCAGCATCTCTGTTGATCAAGTGCTGTGGTGGTTTAAGTGATGGGTTTTAGGATGCTTCAAGTATGCAGATAAACATCTACATTTTAATGATTGTGTCATTTACATGTCTTCCTTTTCTCCCCTGCAGCTGAAGATACCCAGTTTTTTCTGTCATATGAATATTGTTCCTGCTCTCCTGCATGGGGATCTCTGGGGCGGAAATGTAGCTGAGGATGATTCTGGTCCAATTATTTTCGATCCGGCTTCTTTCTACGGCCATTCAGAGTACGAGCTCGCAATAGCTGGGATGTTTAGTGGCTTCACTGGTTCTTTTTATTCTGCTTATCACAGTAAAATCCCCAGAGCTGCAGGGTTTGAGAAACGCCTGAAGCTTTATCAGCTGTTCCACTATATGAACCACTGGAACCATTTTGGATCAGGGTACAGAAGGTCTTCTTTAAACATTATGAGAAGCCTTGTACAGTAAGTTACTGCTTAAGCCAATACTTCCTGTCTTGTTTGGGGAACCTCATACTTGGTGGTGCAGCTGAAGGAGTAGTAATGTTAAAAACAACCTGTGAGACCCTTGACCTTGTTAAAGACCTAGAACCAGTGTCTCCTGCTGAATACCAAGTGTAAAATAGTGATCTCTTTCTGGGATAGTTGGGGATAACTCTATGAGGGAAAAAACTAAGCAAGGACTGAATTTGCACAATGCATAAAGGTCTCAGTGTCCAAAAAGCATGTGAGACTGTGCAGGGTAACACAAATAAACACTAAGGAGATGCCTGAAAGAAGTTGCTTGCTGCATTTTGGTGTGTCTTCCTCTTTCAGCTCGTCATGTCCAGTTGTGTGCGTGAGAGCAACAGAGCTTGAAAGTACAGGAAAATTATGTAGCAATTTTAGGAATTATGTTTAGGAACCGTGAGAAGGGATTTGGAGCTGCAATTAATTTTCACAGAATCAGAGTGGGTGAGGTTGGTGTGGGGATCAGAGAATGTATTCTAGTCCAACCTCCCTGCCTAAGCAGATTACTTAGTATTGGCTCCAGAGGCTTTTAAAGACCTCCACGGTTTTGCTGATTGATTCCATTGGATGCAGACTTCTGGTGCCTCCTGGAGTGCTTGTAGGCTGTTCTAATGAAATAAAACCTGCACTTGCTTCACATGTTTGACTAAAGCCAGTCAAAATCTACCTAATCATGCAATTACATAAATAGCTGGCACCTTATTTTTTCCACACCACCAAAGAAAACTATAAAAATATAACTTTAAAGGGGACTGAGGTCAGGGGAGACTCCTGAGATGGCTCACAGGCTGTAACCCTCTGCTTCTCCACGAGAGTGCCTATCAGCTAATTTTATTCCAAGGGGGTACTACTGCTTGTGCTTTCTGATACCAGTGTGTTCATCAACAATAGTTTATTACCCTTACTTTGGCACAAGGATCAGTAAACCACAGCATTTTATGTCACTGGGACAACAGATGTGTCCCAGTGTCAAGGCTGCACCATTTGTACACCTTTGCTCATGAGAGTTCCAGTGCAGACCTAGAGAGTTGCACTGTTCATTCTAAAATATTCTGTGCAAAGTCTCCCAGGGCCTCAGACATGCCAGAAAGGAAAAGATGTAGAAACCCCTGGGCTCAGTACTTCTCTAGATAACCTGGAAAACAAGGGGTCTTCCTTTCCTAAACTCTCACGTGACAGTCCCCACTAAGTGCATGCTGTGGCAACATGGACTTTGAGTGTTGGGGAATGACTTGTATTAACTAAAACTGCTTTGTACTGGATATTGGCAGATTACTGAGGGTTTTCTACTTGTTAGTTTGGCAGTTACTTACACAAATTTGAAACATGTTTGGTATTTGTTACTACCTCTACTACTTTTCTCACTGGCTGTTTGACTTCTGCTGCAAAATGTCTGCTTGGTAAAGTAGGTTTTACTTTCACCTTGTTAGCTGAATAAAAGGTTTCTCAGTTGATTATTGTTGTCACTGTTTTCTGAATTAAAACCTTACGTCTTGGTTTGTTCTTTGGGAATTACTTTCTCTAACCTGTTAAACATCCTTAGTTTGTTAGGTAAATCGTGATCATCTGAGGTGTTTCGGGGAATGTGCATATATGGTCATGGGTTGGTTTGGAGAACTGTGTCACTGAAGAAAATCTACAAGTTCATTACAGTGCAAGTCAAGATGTTAATTTTCCTAAAATACTTAAATACTCTTCATTGTTAGCAGGGGATGATGAAAATGATAGTAGATTTTATGTCAGTTGCAGTTATAAGATAAACACTGATAAACAACAAGCCTTCAGAGATTACCTTTTCCTTATGGAACTGAATCAGAATATTTTTGTGATTGAAGGAAAGTTGTGTTTATGCAAGTTAGAAACAATTGTATGTAGAGTTTTAATGTAAGGATATTATGCTCGATTTTTCAAAGCTGTTTTTTGCTGTCAGTAAGATCTGGAGGGGTGTAGAGAGGCAGACGAATGGAATGTAACAGGAATCTCTCCTGTACCATGGATCCCTTGGCTCTGAGCCTGTCTTGGGCTGCAGCCTCCTGCAGAAACTGCAGATACAACTGTAGCACTCCAGTTTTCCTCTTGCTTCCCATCTTCAGCGCTGTTCCAAAATAGATCTGGTGATTAAAACTGCTGCTGGGCTCTTCCTGCAGAAGTCAGAGCAGGTGCTACAGAATTAGAATGTGACAAAAAGCTTTGGGGGAAAATCTATTTCTGGTAACTAAGCCACACCCCAATCACAACAGCTTTTTTTTTTCTTTTTTTTTTTTTTAATATTTTGCTACTTTTATTTTTGTTTGGGGGTGTGTTTTGTTTTTCCCTTAACAACTAACAAAAAAAAAAAAAATTAGGGTTGAATTAGGGTTGCTTTCATTATGCAGATATAAGGCTATTTCTTGTCCTTGTTTTGTTGCCAGGCCACTTTATTCCTTTCCCCACGTCCTCCACTGCAACCCAGGGAATGATTCTTTCCTTTCAGCAGCTGGAGAAGCCATCTAACCAGGAATATTATCTTTACAGAGACATTAGTAAAACAAGTATTACAGGATCTGGGTTATAACAGCATGCTTTAAACACTCCAAACTTTATACCTGAGAGTGCCAGTGCACTCTGCAAGTACATCTTATTGGTTGATCGTGCTTTTAAAGTCAGCATCATTGCAGAAATGGGCTGTAAATTTTTTCCTTCTTTTTCTCTTAAGAGCAATCCTCTGCACAGCAAACACAGTGCGACTCATGTTCAATGAAATGCTGTTAAAAGTTGCTGTCCTGGTCTTCACCAGTACCACTGATACAATATAAATTACAGCAAGTGGTTCTGACTAGAAACACAAAACCATATCCCAACCAAAATCACAGGAAGAATGAGGTTTATTGGTTTCCAGAAAAACAACTGGTTTGCATTGAAGAGATTGCTGTTTTATTTAAAAGGTAAATTAGCATAATAATTTCTATACATTTCTATACACTTCTATACATTCCTCGTGTTCCACAGGAGCTTTAATAAATTGTTCACAGAAACTGGCTGCATCCAAGCTTGACTTAGCATTGTGCATGTTTTCTCTTTGTTTTCTGCTGTAAATATTTACCTCCCCTTCTTGCATTATTGCCTCTGACCTTTGCTGCTCGGTCAATTGTCACTTTATCTTCTGTTTCACAGCTCCTACAAACAAACAAATCAGATCAGAACCTTTTGAGGTGATTTAGCACTAAGGACACACAGGCAGTACTTTTTCACTTTTCACCTTTTCAGGACCACCATGAACATTCATGATGTTCACTGTGACTGTAGAAATTATGAACAAGGTAATTTCCTTGAAAAAAAAAAAAAAATAAAAAAAAAAAAAAGAGATTCTGTGCTCTGGATGAGATCTGGGTGGAGTGCTGTGTTTGTCAGTGCTACATCCTCAGGACTCAGAGCACCTAGAGAGGTGTGGGGTTATCTGTGCTATTGTCTTTTGATACTCTAAGCTCTAATAAACAGCATTTTAAATCCTACTTTCTAGTTCAAGTGTGTTTCCTACAGAGATGACAAAGGACCAGCAAAGCACATGCCTTCCACAGAAGTGTAAAAGCTCATAATGTGGTAGAACATTTTAGGTCCAGCAGTAATTTTTTGGTTTGTGCCTATTTTTTTTTTTTTTAAAGCACTCTGGTTTTTACAGTTAAGATTACAAAAATATGAGTGATTTTAATGGAAAACAACAACACGAGTGTGGCTAAGACAGACGAGCAGTCATCTATTCCATCAGGGTGGAGTCATACCTCATTGGAAACATGCTAGAAGAAATTTTGCAAGTCTTTGAAATGTAATGTAAAATCATCAAAATCTTTTGCTCAACCAGAATACTTGGTTGAAAGACTAATTGTTTTTTTCACCATCACAACTTAAATGTGAGCAAATACTGAGAAATTGCACAATGTGCAATTTGATATTTAAATTGTTGACCATTCCTCTCTGAGTTATGTGAACACACATAAAGATTTGTACAAATACAGAAAAAATGCTTTACTTCACTTGAAATAGCTGATTTTACAAAATTTATGATGCATTCTTTTCCTGGTATACTCTGCAAGTTAGGACTGAACCTATTGCCAGTACTGCTACTGTTTATAGCCACAAACCCTGCAAGCATTTGTTTTTGTGATTTATTTCATAATCTTTTTATTGGTTTAATATGTTTTCTTCACTGACAGAAAGAAAGCTGCAAAAAGGTAAATGCTTCCAGCAGTATCAGCTCTAAGCAGCCCAGTGGTTCTTACAGCTTTGCCATTATTTTGCATTTTTAGTTCTGCAATTATTTTCCCATGTTACAAATAGCCTGTTATACATATTTTCACTTTAGCTCTAACACTCAAAGGTTCAGCAATGGGCAGAAAGGTAATTTTGCTTAGCCTAAAAGCATGTAAGTGGAAGAATTATGCAAGGTAAATTAGTGAAGAGCAAAGTTTTGTATGTGAATGAATCACTTGAAAGCTCTTCTGCTAAGTGCTTGTATATTTCTTTTTGAACAGAAAATTAGGTATGTACATGCCATTTACATAGTGTTGTGTATCTAAAATACTTACCTTAAAAAAAAAAAAAGGAAACCAGGTGAGAAAGGCCAAATGAAACCCTGACTCAAGCATCCACACTCAGTGGATTTTTAGAAGATGTGATAATTTACAGCTGCAACAACCCTGTGTGTCAGTCTGATGTGAAATAATCCATAAGGAAGTTGCCACCAAAACAGTCAAACTGTTCAGAGAACTGTCTTAACATGTACGTATTTTTCTATTATCTGATATTTGAATCTATTTATGCTTGTAAGTCTACAAGATGCTTTAGGACCACTCACTTTTTGCAGTTAGAGAAATAATTAATAAAAAGTACTGAAAATGCCAAAAATTAGTCAGTGATAGTTACCAGTGAAAAAATGTTTAGGAGAGAGCATAAAGCAAAGGCATGTGATATTTCATGTGATATTTGCAGCACACTCACACTTTGAGCAGTGTGCAGTTCAAATGGGTGTTTGTGTTTGACAGGTCTCCAGTGCACTCGGTTTTCTGGGGATTGGATCATTTTTAGAGATTTAAAAAGCTTCATGTGCACATAACTGGACAAGCACAAAGTTCTGTGCCTAAATTAGGGTAAAACCATGCGAGGTGTGCTTTAATTAATCCATCTGCTGCTTGCATTAGACACCATGCCACAAAATGACCCCAAAATACACAAGTACAGTGCAAGCTGCTTTTATTCAGGCTCCCCATATCTCCAGTTTTATGTGGGACGTTGTTTGCTACACCGAAATTATGGAGGTTCCCCACAACATTTCCTGCAGAGGGGGTTCATCTACCTGCCAAGCCCTGTTTTTAACTCATTTTAGTCTTTTCCTCAGACCTCTTCTTCCATTGCAAGTGCAGCTATTTCTAAGATCAAATTTAATCAGAAGAGGGCAGCATTTCATTTATTTTGACAACATTTTTTGTGGGTCTCTCAGAACATTCTCTCTTTAGCTTCCAGAACATAATAGAATCAGTTTTATATGTAATGGACACATTTTCCCTTTTTAAAAATTAATCAATTCCCTTTTAAAATGTTAATTTAATTTTTCCTATTTTTTTTTTTTTACTAAAAATAATAATTTCACCCACATCACCTCAAATTGAAAGAAAAGATAATATCCTGGAGGATTTTTACTGGGTTTTGGGGGAATTTTACAAGACCACTTTCTATGTGCACTTAAAATTGCCCGAAGTGGCATCTTTTTATGCAGTTGCATAGAAAGACATCTCATTTACAAGTCTTCCATCTTTAGGGCTGTGAAAGATGAGATAAGAGAGATAAGAGTTTAATTTGGAAAAGCTGTAGTGCTGTGCTTCTTTTTTTCCCTTTTTGTTGCTTCTCCCTTATATATCTTTATATATATATATATATATATATATAAAATTGAAAAGTTACCTTTAAAGTCTCTCATTACTGATAATTTATCACCTTTTCTGAAGGACTGTGCTCTTGGCAAAAGAAAATAAAGTAGGTAGAAGAGCCTTGGGGTAACTATTTCACACAGCAGGTTTAAATGGAAGGTGTGGGTGAGGTTTACCCCAAATCTGCTGTTAGGACAGACTGGTTTGTGAAACTGACATTTCATAGGGGAACATATTGGGGGAGTTAACAAAAGTAGGGATTTTGACTTGCCGATGTGAAAGTGTTGTTAATTAACTAAATAAATGCAGAAAGGGGCACTTGGGTTATAATGAGATGCTAATTTTCTGAATGTAGTGAAACTCTCTCAGCTGGGAGAAATAGTTGATTTTCTTCATGAGAGGGACAAACTGGCCAAGCTTTGGGATGAGGTATGACAAATGCTGAGAGATTAATCAGCATCTTACACTTATATTACCCAGGAAATCTTTTTGTCACTTAACAAATCATTTGGGAGCATTCCTCTCTACAAGGATTTTCATTAAAGTACTGATTA